AGATTTTACTCTGCGAATCTAACCAAATCTAAACAAATCCAACCTAACAAAAGAAAAGAAAAGAGCGAAAAAAAAAAGAACAAAAGAAAAGTTGTGCCTCCTATATAATCACAAAGTGCGAAGTGCGAAACAAGAAAGGAAAAAGTTTAAAGATGTCTCCATCCACTTTGATACAGCACCTGCATCTCATTAATCAAACATTCGATTCCCATTTCCTCTCTCTCCTCACCCCCATCCCCATGACCTCTCCCCTCCCTCACACAACTCCCCACCCTCCTTCCCACCCGTCCCCTCTCCACCCACCCACTCCCCCATTCCCTCACCCACCCCACCCTAGCCCTCCAAACACCGCCCACAGCCTCCCACTTCCCAGGCCATCCCGCCCCCCCATTTACCTTCTCATAAGTATCCCTCCTATACGCCACCCTCACATTGGGATTTACATAAATCCCCTTACTTTCCCTCAGTGGATTATCCGCGTGTATCAAACAGCATTCACTACCCTCTACATGTTTTTGAGCTAGGGAGTCTGCAACGCCTCTAAATTTTAGGCCTTTGAAATTATTGTTTTGCGAATTATCGATTCCTTGTTCCTTGGAAGAAGAAGGATACCAAGGTTTCCCATCGAAAATGACCATTCCATTCCAACAACTTTTCACAGGCACAGGTTCATTTCTTTTTAATGCATTTAAAGATTGTGAAGAGTAGAAGTATGGCCAGGAAAGAGATGAAGTTTTTCGACCAGATGAGTCACGGAGGGCAAATGTGTCGTAGTATTGGGAGGGATGCGAGAAATCAAGGGAACAAGCGGCGGCGTAGGAGTTATTGTTAGTGGCGAGGAGAGTAGTTACATCGGTTGTCTGTTGTGAAATCAGTTACAGGTCTGATTTTGGAGGTAGAGGATGGAATAGATGGGGATATAGACTGATATAGACTGATAGAGATATAAGAGATGAAGAAGTAAGATAGAAAACAAACGAAAAGGAAAGGAGAAGAAACACGTGACAACATACCGTAAAAACGACATCATTAATCCATAAAATCTTATCAAACTTCCTCCCTCTTCCCTCATCCCACACCCTCAGTAAAGGTTCCATAGCCCTATTTCTCAACCTGGCCAAATATGGTATCCGCCTCATTTCCCACCCACTTTCACTCTCTTTCCTTCCCGTAAACAACCATCCAGTTCTATCATGTCCCTCCGCTGGCACATGTTTTAATTCTTCAAGCTGAGCCTCGCGATCCATACCCAATTCAATCGTCCTTTCTACCCCCGCTTCATTTAGCATACCATCTAAATCCATCAGTGCCGCTTTCGTTCCATCCCAAGAGCCTGACTCAATAATTGAGACATAGACGTTCTGAGGCCCTAGATGTTGAACCAGGGATATAAGAGCCGGTGACCAATTTTGTCTGAGCATTATTTCGGACCTACGAAATATAGCTGCAACGAAAATTGTTTCATTATTGGGATTCCCAATTTGTGGTGTAAATCCCTGAAATGTTTCTTCATTTCCAATATCACTAGATAATAATGACTCTTGGTCCCCCTCCCTTCCAACTCTTCTCATCGATGGAGAATTCTGACCTGGTAATGAGAGGGGTTCATGTTGATTTGACGTCAAACTAGAGGAATCAATTGCCGAATATGGAGGCGTGATGGTACGTACTGGATGCGGAAGATTGATAACGATCCAATAAGCATCGAGGAGGAAGAACACTACGACGGCAAGACAGAGATTGGGAAGGCGTGAATGGTGATGAAGAGGGGATCGTGGGGCGCGAAGGTAACGTCTAGGAAGGAATGTCATGGTTTAGTTGTGATGCTGGTCTTGTACTGCCAGGAAGAGTATGTTGATGTCGTCCAGGGTATTTGACGAGCGTGATGAGGGGCTATGGACGGGCCGAAATGGCTGGGTATGATATCCTAGCTCTTAGCTACCTAGTAGCATGTAACAGAAAATGTGCTCAAGAAACAACCGGGGTAGCTGTAAGGGAAGAGGCGAGTAGTCCCGTTCGGGCAAATGACCCAGAAAGAAGGTGGCTGGCCGTTCAAATCTGGGGTTCAGATCCGAGTCCGTCTTAACCTATCGCATATGAGAATGTGAGATTGTGAGCTTATAAGCATGTGAAGCCGTAAAGAAGCCAGAAAATTTATTCATGTGAAGTTTACATGAAATGAAGGAAAACTAAGGCATTATTCATAGTTTTGTTCTATTTGTTGGTTGGTTAATTTCTGCTGTCCGTTTTCAGCGAAACGTGATGATTAAAACCCCAAGGGATTTATTTGGCGCGTGAGAATTACCTTAGCGTGCGGGCTTGCAAGCCTGTACCTAACTATATCAAAGGATTCACTCCTATAAACATCATAATATATACTTCCCCAATTCGTACTGTAACACAAAGTTGAAAAGAAAGAGGGTATAAAATGGCGCAGCGCTGTTGGAAATGCAAGTTAGGGCGGGACATAGGAGTAAGAACCCTACAATTGTAAGTTCGTGTTTCGGCCTTACTTTATTTAGAGTTTTAATCTGAGACATGACAGCCAAGAGCTCTTTCTGCATTAATTGACGAGCTGGGGATCCCCAGATTTTGTTTTTCATTTATATCTTCAATTCTGGTATGTATTACGGTATTGATTGAATATCTACTCGCTCGTTATATTCCTAGATAACGACAGGAAAGATAAACATACATCAAAGCATCGAAGACTTACACTATCATTCATGTCTTGAATATCCAGACAATCCATTCAAATAGCTAGGTAAACTTTCTTGTTCCCTGATGTCAACCAGTTACACCTTCGTTCACACCTGATGAAGCTTCTCTACAATAGATATCTCTCCCATCATATATATCTGGCGGTGGATCACCAGGTATTGATAAATCATTGAAGAATATGAATTTGCCTAGTGGTCAATACAGCAAGTATAAGCCACTAGAATACCTTACCTTGGCCCTTGGTCAAATGGTCATTTTATATCCTCAGTTGGATTTTTTTGAAGGTACAATCGTGAAGTCTGTCACTATGCAATTGAACTGATATTGTGGAAAAAAAATCTATTTCTTTATTACTACAATCTATCTATCTATTCATCTGTTAATATAAGTATATCTATCTAAATCAAGCTGAAGCTTCAATAGCCTTTTGTTGCGCCTCGAACTCCTTGCTAAATGCATAAGTGGTATATCCCTGCTCCTGCGTCTTATTGTAGAAGAAATTTCTATCATATGGTGTAAACTCAATTCCCTCCTTAACTCTGAAAGGAAGGTCTGGATTAGCGATATAGTATCTTCCAAATACAATCACAATATCTTTTCCTTTGTATTCTTCGTCAACAGTTTTCTTTGCAGATTCCGCTGTGAATCCTCCAGCGATAAAAATTGGACTAGTACCATCCCAAATATCAATGACAAAGTTGATGTTCTCCGTTGCTTCAACATCTTCGTTTCCAGTGATTCTAGACTCGACAACGTGTAGGTATGCAAGGTTCAATTTCTTGAGCCCTTGGACGAAATAGCTAAATTGTGGAATAGGATCTGCCATCTTCATTCCTTGGAAAGGAGAATATGGACTCAATCTAATAGCAGTCTTGTCAGCACCTACAGCTGCAACCACAGCCTTGGCAACCTCAAGTCCGAAACGTGCCCGGTTCTCAATACTTCCTCCCCAAGAATCAGTACGTTGGTTGGCAGTATCTTGGAGAAATTGATCGACCAAGTAACCATTTGCGCCGTGAATCTCGACACCATCGAATCCAGCTTCAATTGCATTTTTTGCAGCTTGTGCATATAATCCAATATATTCCTTGATTTCCGCCTCGGTCAAGGCTTCTGGCTTGGCTCCTCCCTCGAATGGAATATCGCTTGCAGATTTGACTTTATAACCAGTTTGTTCCAAGTATGTAGGATCTGCAGTTCTTCCCAATGCCCACAATTGCATCCAGACGTATGATTTCTTCGCGTGTACGGCATTGGTAACTTTTTTCCATGCGGTAATTTGATCTTTGCTCCAGATACCAGGGGCATGAGAATAGCCGCCGGCTTGAGGGGCAATAAAGGTAGCTTCGGTGATGAGGAGTGTGCCGGGAACAGAAGCACGTTGTGCGTAATATTCGGGAACCATTGGAAGAGGTACGTGGTTATCGTCGGCACGGAACCGGGTGAGGGGTGCCATGGCAATTCGATGTTGAAGCTTGGAAGCTCCAACCTTGAGAGGGGTGAAAAGTGTTGATGAAGACATGTTTGTTGGGTATTATCGAGAGGTCGGTAGGTATGTGAAAATGTTGTTGCAGTTCGATTACTTGCTTGTTTGGATCAAGTGGGATGGGATGAATTGAGATGGACGACGAGTCCATATGCTTTTATACCCCCCATTACATTTGGGTATATGGCGCAATGGCGTATGAAGCAGGAATAAAACTTACCAGTTTGATTGTTCAGCATGATCGTTTTAGCATGATGATATTGCTTACAAACCGGATAGCCTAGCTATATGGCATTTACCCAAGATATGTCCGAGGTAGTGGGGTCCCAAGCAAATGATAAGTCGATAGTTGTCTGATCTGCAGGCAATGTTAGATATCTGAAGGCTTCTGTAAAAAACTTTTTGTCAAGATCCATCAAATATTACAAATCGGTTATAAGCCAATTGCCAACTGCCGATATATCGACGATGACTTTCGGACTTAGTTAGTAATCCTTAATTATCACGTCCAAAATTAAAAATGGAAGATATTCGTTGAAGAGGAAAATGCGTGGTTATTGATTGGCAAATTGATGGATATCTATCTAACCTTTCACAAACGTTCAGACCAATGAAAGCAAAAAGAACAAACCCCATTCTTTCCTTCTTTCCCCTCCCTCTAAAAGCAGCGCCCCCTTTTCTTACTTCTCTTCACCCCTCAGCGCAAAAACTCATTGCAAAACCTCATCCATCCACCAAAATTTCAATGTTGAAGTTTGTGACAACATAAAAATAAAAATATTTGAAAAAATATTGGAGCGGCAGGGAGTCGAACCCTGGACTTCATCGAGCATTATCAATCATCTCTTTCGAGGTATTTGAGGTTGCAAACGAGGCACTCTACCACTGAGTTACAGCCCCTGGTACTTGTTATTGACGGTTGAAAGCTTATTTCAAAATATATTACTCGTCAAAAACAATGTCAATGTGGGAAAATGCCGTCCCACCTGCGGGGAGAAAGTTGCAACTCGGCTCTATCGAAAGGCCGAGAAAGCGAATATCCCCGAAAAGCGAAATGTTCTACTAGCTCTAATATATAAACAACTTAATCAACCTTCGAATTAATAATTCTAATAACAAATTTTTGACTATATTAATTTGACAATTCATGATTGTACATCAAAAATAAGATTTCTCAATAATAATTTTAGATTTTGATATATTTTACTTCAAAATCGGTAAAGGGACAATTCGTTCTCCGGGGACATTCGCTTTCCCCGATTATAAGAACTAGTCGGCCATTTGTAAGAGCCGACTATTAGTTTAAAATCTTGTGGTAAATGTTTTAAGATGGAATGAGTAGGTAGATGGAACAGCATCGACAGAATAAAGGCTACTCTCGAGACATCACTAGCCCCAGATAATTACTCTTACACACTCTTATCCATTGATATATAGGTAGAGCCAAGAAGGGAGAGTAGAATAGGTAAGAGAACATACAGTGGATGGAGGTAGAGAGAACCAAGGCAAATGCTCTTTGCAACAACATCACAATCGGGTATCCAATTGATATCGACTTCCAAACAATATGTCAGCTCTGTCTACCCCTCCATCCCCAAATCCAACCACTTTATAGTCCAAATTCATCACCTCATCTCTTCATCTTTTCATCTCTTCATCTCACATTACATGTAAGTAGGTATGCATCGACGATATACAGGTAGCAGAAGCTAGTAATTATGATTCCAAATCATCAGACTTACAATGCTATTTCCCGACCATGATTTCTCATCTGTACTACTATCAAAATACCCATTTTTACCATATCTCGGAGTCAAGAGTTTTGTGTATCCCGAAGAAAATACGGTTTGAGCATCTCCAGATTCTCCACGGGCTTTGAGGATTCCCGCGATTTAGATCATGAAGTACTTTCAACGTCTTTTATAGGTCTGCTATTATTTTCCTCTTACAGTGGGAGTTTGGTGAATTGTATTTTCTCCCCAATATCATAGTGATTGACATGGACAAGATATTCAAACCAGCAAGATACGATTCACTCCCATCACAACTATCTTAGTCAAATGATTGCCCCAATTGGCCTTCTTCCTCTTTCCCTAAGAAAGAAATTGACATCGCCTCTTTCTCTCTCTAAGCATCAGTGCTGTCATCCGTATGCATCTACTCCAACCCACAAGTCTCTGTCCCGCCTTGGACACCCAGATCTCCCGTCTCAAATGAACACCCACAGTCTGCGTAGCCAAAGCCACCATCGTCATCTCAAAATTCTCTCTGTACACACTTCACCCCCAACTTCGCCGTCGTCTTCACGAAACTCAAATCCAAATCCTGATGCTCCATTCCATCATACCAATCTTCAAATACAGCGGTACATAAGCCATTTAGCAAAAAGCTAATTGATTCGCTACTCCTCTTATTCTCTCCCACATACTCCGTGGTTCTCTGTTAGGCGTCCCGGGCATGCGCGACACCTTCGCATTGTATAATAGGGACTCCGCACACATACCTTTTAGACAAAATTTCTCAGGCTCGAACAATGAGTATTTGATCTTGAAATTGTAAATCAAGGGACCACCGGTAGGTAGCATTACCTAGACTTTACACTCTTGTGAAGAATACCACTTGCAAGAAAAGGCGGCCTGGCAATCGCCCTCCCCAAAGTCCACCTAAGAGTATCGATGCTTCTCATTATCATTAGCCAGATAAACAACTTCATAATGCGAAAAAACCGGTATCCACCACTCTCCAATATCCCATCAAGTCTAACTCTTTCTTCTTTTAAACCACTTCAGATTCATCGCAATAGGGCGCGCATGTACTTCCACAACCAAACCATAGAATAAGAATATTAAAACGTATCGAAACACAAAACCAGGAGGAAAAAAATCAAAACGATATAAAAAAATTCAAACACCTGGGTACCTATGCATACCTCGTACACGAAAACAATATACCGAATGGGCACAGCATCTTCATATTTATATTCTCTCTACTCTTTTCTCTATTCACTCTTCTGGGAGGAAAGATTCAGAGTCCAGCTTAAATACATCTCTGGAAGATTCAGTATATATATATTCAGATATTCGGGTTAAGGTGAATATACATATACACAAATATGTACATAACTGAACAATAATCCATAGATAGAAATATACTATAATATAAACCCCAAGATCCGATTTGCGCTTGGTCTACTCCGTACAAGAGAGATTATTCCCAAAACAATATACATAGAATAAGAGTTGAATCAATTTAAAATTCTCACAGCCATTGATTAACTCATTTAAATCTCTATACAATCAAATCGAAATGCTATAGTTCCAATCCAATCAACTAATCCCACTACGAAACGAGCAAAGCCAATGAAAATCAAGACACACTTTACCACTTTACCACTTTACCACTTTACCACATCACCTCCAATTCACTCATTTACAGAAGAAAAGTTTTGTTGCATATCTGAGTTACCAGGGGGGCGGTCATAAATGACATTTTTGGTCATATATGCCCAGGTCCCCCTTAGTACAAATGACAATTTTTGTCATCATGCACTAGCATTTTCACACCCAAGAACCTCGAGCCGGTCCTGTAGAACTTTGCAAATAAAGTATTTGTTTGTTGAATCATGCAGTGTGGATATCTAACTACCACTTGTTCATCCTGTATTCGAAGAACTAGATATGTATACCTCAGCCAGCCACACGAAAAATAAATTCTTTCTTTTCAGCAATTGTACCTGCCACCTGAACTCCTCAAACAGAAAGATTGCTCGACCGTTAAATTCTCCAACTCCAACCACCAACTGCTCCGCTGCTTTACCCCTGATTTTGAGACCCACTTCCTCCTTTAATCCACCCCTCACTAATAACCAATGCATCCACCATGCTTCTCTTCAACATCCTAACCTTCACATCCCTCTCCTTAATCTGCCGCTGCAAACTCAAATATTTCGCCTTCCAACTCTCCTCCTCTTCCTCTCTTCCCCTCCCAATCTCCCCCATTCCTTCCCCCATCCCCATCTTTCCATTATCCTCCACAACTGTAGCTCTTATCGTGAAATTTCCTTCAAGACTGCCAAATTTCATTTTCCAATGACATTCATAATCTACTCTTAGGGGTGGACCGGAAAATTCAATTCTTGTAACGCGAAGACGCGTCATCAATGGACCGCCTGCTAGCGCTGAAAGATTAACGAGGAAGGCCTCTGTACTGCTAGATTCGGCCTGAAGATTTTGGATTACTTGTTTGCAGATTTTAGATGCTTCGTCTATAGAGCATCGTTGGATTGAGTTTCCAGCTACATCGTACCATTCCGCGACGAGGATTTCGCCAATAAAGTGAGATTCTAGAGCATCGATGTTGGTGCGATCAAAATCTTCGTTTTGACGAAATGCTATGCTAACAAAGTGTTCGAAACTGGGGTCTGGAGGTTCGTTGATGGGGTTGTTGAAGTATTCCATTAACGATGTTTGTTGAGATTGGTTCATTAAATCATGCTGCAAATTCGTATCGGTCTCACCATTGAGGAGTACGACAGGGGGTGGTGGTGTCGCTAATCGAACATTGCCGCCTTTTCTTTGTGGGACTTGAAGTGAAAGTCGATTTGGTCGAGAATTTTGAGTTTGTGGATTGCTAACAGGTGGATTGGCTTCGACGCCCGCGGGAAAGAAATTCGGAATTTCGGAATCTGCTACTGTAGGGGTAGCAGTTGGTGTATCCCTTATAGAACCAGGATTGGCAGGGAAAGTCGAAAAGGGACCATCAGTAACAGAACGATTACTTGGTGGTCTGCCTCGTAACTTTCCAGCAGATGCACTACCGTTGCTTGGCCATGCTGATGATACCGCAGGACCATGACGACGTCTAGATCGTGATTTATTTGGCGTTGTAGCAGACTGAGGTTCATTGCTATCCGGCCAAAGATGTGTTCTGGTTGAGGGTGTAAGAGCTGATTGTGGATAAGCTGATAGAGGAGTTGCACTTTCGGGTGGAGCACCCCATCTAAAATTATTCACTAGAGGACCTCGAACTTCTGTTGCAGACCATGGACTCAATCGGGAATCAAAGCCCTGCTGAAAAGAAGAAGTTGCTGTCGCTGGAGTAGCACTATCGGGATGCAAAGAAGCTCTAGCAATCAAAAAATCTTCGGGCAAAGTAGGCGAGTGTAGACGAGGACGCTGAGACGGTGATCTTCCCATGTCATCATCGTCCCTATCTTCAGCCTTCTTTCGTCCGCGCTTAGGCCTTGTCTCTGGAAGCAAAGCGCGAAGAGCCAAATCTTCATCAGCAGTAACTCCGTCTCGGCCAAGCTCCGACGGTGGTTCGTTAGGTAATGGTACTTCCGTCCAGTATACATGGGGTTTGTTCAATAAATATTCAAAGAAAGCATCAACATGCATCGCATGCAACCACCGCTAGATATCGTTAGCTCGACATTGATGAGTTTCTAAGATTGACTTGTATACCTTGAGCCTAACCGCATACTGCTGTACCTTCTGAGCACTTTGACCTTTCTCCAAGGCAGGGGGCTCAACTCCTAGATCTATTGCCAGTTGTGCCCATGTTTTAATTTCCTTATTCTCTAATTTACGAATCAATTCGAATAATGTAAAAGTGCTGAAACTCTTGTTATCACTTTTTGGGGGCGCCCGAAATATTCGCCTGAGTTCAGCAGTATCTGTGTCTGATGCCACAGTAGGATTGCAGTACATGATGAAGCCTACGTAGGCATCGTCAAAATTCTCGTCTGTAACTTCTCTCGAAGGTAGACTTCGAGAACTCTGCTGATTTGGAGATAAATTTCCCAATGATGAAGATTGTACCGGATGCTCAGGCACCACCCTGTCATGAGCATTTGAACATGATGCTTGACTGTGGGCTTGAATATATTGTTCACCTCCTTG